ATGCTACCCAAGAAGATCTTGTACTGAACTTTCAATTATCTTGTATGATTTTGGTTGCTATGGAGTAAGACTTTATCCTTTACATTCAATCATCTTGAGTGTTACGGTGTAAGATCGTGCCCTTGACATTCAATCATCTTGGACGCTGCGCTCGAAGCGCTTGTCCTTAACTTTGAACATCTTGGATGATATGCTCTAAAATCTTGTCCTTGAATTACAAACATCTTGGATGCTTCGCTGTAAGATCTTACCTTTAATTTTCAATCACCTTTGATGCTACGGTGTAAGATCGTGCCCTGAACTCTCAATCCTCTTGAATGCTACTGTGTAAGCCTTGTCCTTAACTTGCAAACATGTTGGATGATACGCTGTAAGGGGGTGTTGGATGGTACGCTGTAAGCTGTTGTCCTTAGCCTTCAAACATCTTGGATGCAAGCATGTAAGATCTTGTCCATAAATTACAAACATCATTGGTGCTTCGGCGTAAGATCTTGTGCTTTCAAACATCTTGGGCGCTACAGAGCCAGATCTTGTCCTTAACTTTCGATCATCCTTGATGCTACGCTGTCAGATCGCAGCCGGATCTTGCAATCATCTGGGATGCTACCGTGTAAGATTTTGTCCTTGACTTGCAAATCTTTGTTGCTACGAAGCAAGATCTTGTCCTTAACCTTCAAACATGTCGGATGCTACGCTCCAAGATTCTGTTTGTCTTGTCCCTAACCCTCAAACATGTTGGATGATACGCTGTAAGTTCTTGTCCTTGACGAACAAGAACAAGAGAAAGAACCATAACCACAAGATTAGAAACAAGAACCACAACATCAGCAACAACAACAGCAGCAGCAACAACAAGAACAAAATAACAATAACAAAACACAATAGTTAAACAACAAGAGCAAGAACAGCGATAACAACATTAACAACAAGAACACGAACGAAAACGAGAACAAGATAAATAATAACAAGTTCTTGGAAGATCTGGATGCTGCCCAAGAAGATCTTGTCCTGAACTCTCAAGCATCTTGTATGATTTTGGTTGCTATGGAGTAAGACTTTGTCCTTAACTTTCAATCATCTTGGGTGCTACGGTGTAAGATCGTGCCCTTGACATTCAATCATCTTGGACGCTACGCTCGAAGAGCTTGTGCTTAACTTTGAACATCTTGGAAGCTATGCCCTAAGACCTTGTTCTTGAATTACAAACATCTTGAATCTGGGATGCCACGCTGTAAGACCTTGCCCTTAATCTTCAAACACCTTTGATGCTACGGTGTCAGGTCTTGTCCTTAAGTTCTAAACATGATTGATGCTACTTTGCAAGATCCTCTCCTTAACTTTCCAGCATCTTGGATGTTACGGTGCAAGATTCTGTCCTTAACTTTCAAACATGTTTGATGCTATGCTGAAAGGCCTTGTCCTTAACTTTCAATCATTATTGATTGTACGGTGTAAGATCTTGTCCTTAACTTTCAACCATCTTGGATAACACGCTGTAAGACCTGTCCTTAACTTTCAATCATCTTGGGTGCTACGCTGTCAGGTCTTGTCCCCAACCTTCAGACATGTTGGATGATACGCTGCAAGTTCTCGTCCTTGCCTTACAAAAACAAAGACCGCAACAGCAAAAACAAGATTAAGACTCTGGTCAAGATGGAGATTTTTCCTTCAACCAATCTATATATTGATGGTCGGCTTCAAAACTCCGTAGGGCCTGGTTTATAAGATTTGATATAGGTATGACGATGGAATTCAAACCTCCACCAGTTAGAATATACCCTTTTCATCAATGATGACATGCTCAATAACCAAAGTTATAAGTTATAACACACTCAAAGATGTTATGACCTGCGAAACGGCGACTTACAAACCACGCTTGTTAATCACCTACTAAGGTAAACCATCATTAAACAACCCACAAAAATTACGAAACAGGTAGTCGTAAGTTCGCTGGCTACAGGTGAGCGCTGGCCCTCAAATACAAACAATCTGGCTCTTTGTTTTTTCTCCGAAACAGCTTTTATACCTATGTTTCAATCGGTGCTTGGAAAAAAGTAAAATCTACAAAATCACTTTTTTTTTCTCCAAGATGGCATGTCTCAAAGAGCCGCAAAGTGCCAAAGCGTCACAGAGCCGCGAAGTCTCAAAGCGCCAAGAAGCGCCAAAGCGTCAAAGAGCCGCAAAGCGCCAAAGGGCCAAGAGGCACCAAAGCATCAAGAGCGCCAAGCGTCAAGCGCCAAAGCGCCAAAGCGCCAAAGCGTCAAAGAGCCGCAAAGCGCCAAAGGGCCAAAGGGCCAAGAGGCACCAAAGCATCAAGAGCGCCAAGCGCCAAAGCGCCAAAGCGCCAAAGCGCCAAAGCGCCAAAGCGCCAAAGCGCCAAAGCATCCAAGCGTTCAGGCTTTGAGGCTTTGAGGCTTTGAGGCTTTGAGGCGTAGGACACGCGCCAAAGCGCCAAAGCATCCAAGCGTTCAGGCTTTGAGGCTTTGAGGCTTTGAGGCGTCGGAAAAGCGTCAAGAAGCGCCAAAGTGTGCAAGAACCGCCAAGCGCCAAAGCGCTAAAGCGCCAAAGCATCCAAGTGTTCAGGCTTTGAGGCTTTGAGGCTTTGAGGCTTTGAGGCGTCGGAAAAGCGTCAAGAAGCGCCAAAGCCTGAAAGAGCCGCCAAGCGCCAAAGCGCAAAAGCATCCAAGCGTTCAGGCTTTGAGGCTTTGAGGCTTTGAAGCGTGAGGCGCCAAAGAGGCTTTGCAGCTTTGAGGCTTTGAGGCTTTGAGGCGTGAGGCGCCAGAGAGGCTTTGGAGCTTTGAGGCTTTGAGGCGTGAGGCGCCAAAGAGGCTTTGCAGCTTTGAGGCGTGAAGCGCCAAAGAGGCTTTGCAGCTTTGAGGCTTGGCAAACCTTAGCGGGCCTGATCCCCCATACTCTGAGAGAAACATTGAAACGAAAGAAGGACTTCGATTGAAAGCCAGGAGGAGTCTAACGAAAGAGAGAGGTTGCAAACGAATGTGAGGAGGCGAACGAAACAAGACAGGGCTTGAACGAAAGAGGACAGGCTCTGACGGAAGAGGACAGACTCTGACGGAAGAAGGTAGGCTTCAACGGAAGAGGATAGACCCGAACGGAAGACTCTTAGCGGAAGACTCTTGTAACGGAAAGGATGGATCCGAACGGAACAGGACAGGCCGCTAGCCTAGCAGAAGAGAATAGACTCTAACGATCCCCCTTGGAATTTTTTAGGGGTACCTGTCCAACGTCAACGTTTGCGATTTTATCGTGGACGTTGGTGTCAGCAATTCTATAGAGATTTCATGTTGAAAACAGCATTGGGTACTAGTAAGCTAAGAATCTTGTCACATCTGTGAGGGAACATCTACCAACAAGGCTATCAGATAAACATCATCATCATCATCATCAGCATCATCATCATCATCATCATCATCATTTGAGCCACGAAAAAAACATCAATGTATTGTTTATGTAAGGGAGTTATACTACATCACTTTCGCGAAACAGAAATGCTGGGTCGCGAAAGATCGCGAAAGTAATTTGCTTCGCGAAAGGTCGCGAAAGAGAAGTTTAAGATATTTCAAATTGTTTGTTTTGTTCAAGATGGCATGTCTTAGAGACGTTTCGAAGCTGACAGGCAACAAGAGGCTGAGAGGTGTCAAGAAGCTTAGAAGCGTTTAGAGGCTTAGAGGCGTTTAGAGGCTTCGAGGCGTTTAGTGGCTTCGAGGCGTTTGGAGGCTTAGAGGCGTTTAGAGCCTTAGAGGTGTCAAGAAGCTTAGAAGTGTTTAGAGGCTTAGAGGCTTAGACTTAGAGGCGTTTAGAGGCGTTTAGAGGCTTAGAGGCGTTTAGAGGCTTAGAGGTGTTTAGAGGCTTAGAGGCTTAGAGGCGTTTAGAGGCTTAGAGGCGTTTAGAGGCTTAGAGGCGTTTAGAGGGCTTAGGGGCTTTTAAGAGGACTAGAGGCTTAGAGAGTGTATGAGGCTTGCCTTAGGCGTTTTAGAGGCGTTTAGAGGCGTTTAGAGGCTTAGAGGCGTTTAGAGGCTTAGAGGCTTAGAGGCGTTTAGAGGCTTAGAGGCGTTTAGAGGCTTAGAGGCTTAGAGGCGTTTAGAGGCTTAGAGGCGTTTAGAGGCTTAGAGGCTTAGAGGCGTTTAGAGGCTTAGAGGCTTAGAGGCGTTTAGAGGCTTAGAGGCGTTTAGAGGCTTAGAGGCTTAGAGGCGTTTAGAGGCTTAGAGGCGTTTAGAGGCTTAGAGGCGTTTAGAGGCGTTTAGAGGCTTAGAGGCGTTTAGAGGCTTAGAGGCGTTTAGAGGCTTAGAGGCGTTTAGAGGCTTAGAGGCATTTAGAGGCTTAGAGGCGTTTAGAGGCTTAGAGGCGTTTAGAGGCTTAGAGGCTTAGAGGCGTTTAGAGGCTTAGAGGCGTTTAGAGGCTTAGAGGCGTTTAGAGGTTTAGAGGCTTAGAGGCTTAGAGGCGTTTAGAGGCTTAGAGGCGTTTAGAGGCTTAGAGGCGTTTAGAGGCTTAGAGGCTTACGGGCTGCCTCCGGACATTAGAGACTTAGAGGCTTAGAGGCTTACAGGCTGCCTCCGGACATTAGAGGCTTAGAGGCTTAGAGGCTTACAGGCTGCCTCCAGACATTGGAGGCTTAGAGGCTTACAGGCTGCCTCCAGACATTAGAGGCTTAGAGGCTTAGAGGCTTACAGGCTGCCTCCAGAGATTAGAGGCTTAGAGGCTTAGAGGCTGGCGACGAACTGGAACCCCCCCTCCCGATACGATGCAACGAACATGCAACGACATGCAACGACATGCAGTCGTTGTGCGTCTTCTCCACTTTCCGTTTCCATGATGCATCATGATGCGCGTTGCTTTACAAATTGCACGTCTTTGCACATCTTTGCAGCCTATGTGTCTCTATGCTATGTATCCCGATGTATCCCGATTCTCTATGTTTGCATTTCATCTTGCCGAGCTCCTCGGCCTTACTGTTCAGATCTGTTTAGCAGTTTAGCTTTTGTGAGGCCACTTCATATCTGGCACTATGTTCCGCAAGCACTACAGCGATCTCTTGGACATGTTAAAGATGCTTAGGAGCTCTATCCCTTTGAGGGGCGAGCTGCTTGGTTGATCCAACTTCTGAAGTCTTTCATAATTGTCCATCCTTTTTCTCTAAGACATCATCTTTTGAACAGGTTCTTTTGCAACCGTTTGCAACCCACTTTGCTCAGATGCTCAGCAGTGTCACTTCTTTGCCAAGGTTTGTTCAAGCCTATTTTGGTGCATATTTGATTAGCTATGTCCGTCCCCAAAGACCATGGTCAACTGAGCTGATCCCATTGGAGATCCCGCCATCGGTGCAGTCCAGCTACTCCGAGGATCGAACGATGAATAAAGCAGAAAAATGATGCAAAATGACCGTTTCAAGCTGGTCTCTCATTCTTGTTTCAGTCGTTCTCCTCGTAAAGAGATGTGTCTTCCGTTGTGCTCCTGAGCTCAGTGAATTTCATATCTGTCCTGTGGGATTTGGGAGGTGCTGGATGAGTGTCGTGGACGAGGAGCTCAAAACTTTGTAAAAGTTTTAGGCCGAATGCGGCGTTTGTTGCCTGGCGTTGCATTCATTCCACTTACGATCATTACGATCCACGATGATCTAAGCATATCTTGAAGATTTTTTTGGCATATCCAAGTCGTGTTTGTGGTGTTTGTGGTACGCCGCTGAACTACTGCACAGCCACAGCAAAACACATCCATTGGACAAGATCAATTCAGATCAGCAAAGAACGCATACTGCCGCACACTCCGAACTCGCAAGTTCTGGGTCATCTTCAGGTCGCAATTTGTTGCTTCTTGGTTGTCCAATGCCAAAGGTTACAGATGATACAGGCATTCTGAAAGGTGGATGTACGATCTTACACTCACGAGTTTTGTTGGATTCCATTTGGATTCCATTTGGGGTCGCCTAGTTTTTCAGCTGAGTTCCAGTTGTGGATGCCCAGGCTATCGCTGTCCCTGCAGCAAGATGCCAGACCTCTGAGTGAGGCAGTTTGGCGGACCGTGCAGGAGCTGCGAGCTAAAGGCACCAGGGACATCCAGGGACAGTGAGTTAATTGCAGAATGGGGCAACTACCCTCTGGTAAACTAACATAGCTATGGAAAATCACCATTTTTAATGGGAAAACTCACTATAAATGGCCATTTTCAATAGCTATGTTAAATTACCAGAGGGTACATGCAATTACTGAATTCTGAAGTTTGAAAGACTTGGCTGTTCGGTTCCCATCGGTTCCCCGTTTCGCGCCACTGCGCGTTGATTCAGGCCACAGGCCCTTGGTCTTTGCATCAACAGAGCGGGAGGCGGAAGCTTTGGTGCGACATATCGCGTGCGCCAGACGCTTCAGGAAAAGCCATCCTCAGCATTGCAAAGGCTGCGATCTGTGCCGAAACTTCAACAAGTTTCTTGGTTCACTTATCTGCCAGATCTTCAATCCTCTAAAGCTATTAAAGATATTAAAGCTGCCATAAGTAGGGACAGAATGCAGCCAGCGACAGTTGGACCCTCGGCCCAGGTTTGCTCAGCCAGGAGCGCACAGGGGGAAGCCGGACTCATTGATCTTGTTGTGTCATTTGCGATGCCATTCAGTTGCTACTGCTGCTACTGCTGCTCATGTTGTGTGGAACTCTGTCCCTTGGTTTCAGTGGTGATGGCATTGTTCCCGATGTTGTGAATTGCATTTCTCTGCGCTTCTTATCGCTTCTTGGTTTGTCACTTCAGGAGCCCAGAACATGCCCCCAATCGAAGGCCAGAGGATTCAATTGCTGTTTGGATCTGTTTGGATCTGTTTGGCATCCTGCTGTGGGTCGAACATGTCAGGTACGGAATCTGACCAAGAGCTACTGGTCTTTACCGTGGCTGCTGACTCGGCTGGATTGAATCTGCAATCCCTGGGAGATGCGTTGGTCCTTCGTGCCCTGACGTGAAGATGGGCATATCGAAACCCTTGTTGTATCACGTGGTACCACTCAATGCATACAAATCAGATACATAGATATAATATTGATATAATAAATAAATATATATATATACATCTATCATAGATGTATATTTTTTAACATATATATATACACAATGATTACATGTCATATGAGTCGTCATATCTAAGAGATAATAGACCTGCAAACATACAAGCATACAATCATGGCGGTTCTTATTCGCACATTGCATTTGCAGCGCATCTGCGACATTCAGACAGTTTCAGGACCCGTGCAGATGGATCAGCTCGTCCAGATGATGGGTCGCTTGGACAGGCCTGGGCAAACATCTCACAAGCTTTGTCGTGCGATCCTATACATGAAACTTGGCCAAGATCTTACCTTTCGAGCCTTGTCGCCTCAGCATCTCCAACTCTTTGTTCAGTTCGTTGGCTAAGGAAACGCACTCATGAGGAAGCGGACCCTTGGCTACGTTCGCTGTGGATTTGTGTGGGTTTTGCATCCAGCAGATGTTCAAGTGTTTTGGAGGGATTCTTCAACTCAGAATTGTGCTGATGTATTGCTGATGTATACAGCTGGCTCGTTCACAAGGAAGTGGCCCACCTCCAAAAACATGCAGCTTTCTGGAGTCTTCACATCAAGCCAGTGGCGCGACTTATTGTGATGGCGACTGACTCAGAGGTGGGGAAAGTTGAGGTATTGATGTTTGTTTATTTTTATCTGTATTTAAATTTTTATGTGATATTATATATTTATTTATTTATGACTGTATTTAGTTAACCTGAGAGCAGTGGCAAAGGAAATCCGGCGACCTAGTCGTAGGTTTGATGCAGCTGATAGTTGAACGGCAAGGACGTGAGTGGGAAGTACCAGGAGCTGCTGGAGCTGGAGAGCAAGAATCGGAATGCCGCAGCTCCCGAAAACGTCAGCAATGAACAAGCTGCTCGGTCAAGTTTCAGGGACCTTTGAATGTTGTTTGGAACATCCAGAATTTTGGAAACAAGAATGACCCCATCGAGAGATGTTTTCAGCCGCTGCTTTACTGCGTAAAAAATTGGAAAACGATGGAAAACGAGAAGGTTCAAAATCGCGCCTAGCCAGGCCACTCACAAACAAGCAGAGATGTGGCCGCACTCTTTTCAGTTTCAAAAGCGGAGCTGGGGAATTTCAGAGCGCCTCGGTGTTCTTAGTTGCAAGAAATCTTGCACTTGGCCTTTCAAATCCTTTCAAAGCTCGATTTTACTAGTGACCGGTGCTGTTTCTTGAGGACAACGAGGTAGACAAACAGCTGCAGTGAAGTGATTTTAGATGATTTTAGCGGGCAAAAGCATGAAAATGTCAAATGGCATCCAAGGGCAGAGGCAGCTTCAAAGCAGCGAAAAGTGGAGTCTCCAATCAAGAACCATGTGTTTCAACAGATTCAAAGCAACTTGGCTGTCCAACTGCAGGATGCCCTGGATGGGCCCTGGATGGGACAGCGACAAGCAGAAGTCAAGTCATGCAGGGGAAAAGACCATAAGACACTGATTCATCAGGTTTTCCCAGTCTCATACTTGCCATATCTTGCCATGGTTGAGGTTCTACTCCGGTCGCCATCAATTTGGAGATGCCCTCATTCCCAGATCTTCCCAAAGTGATGACACGGCAAAGTGTGCAGCTGGGGGTTGCCTTCTTAGCATATCTTTTCACGATTTTTCACGCGTTCCTGGCTGTCACACAGTAGCCAGCACCCTGCACTGTTGCCGCATCTAAGCCCATTTTGAGATGGCACTTTTGAGGTGGGATACCTCATTGAGAATGACGACCGGTTCAGGTGGGACCAATTTCCGGAATCAACAAGTGCTATACGTACATAATATATATATATATGTGTGTGTGTGTGTGTCTTTATTTTATCATATTATATGTAACGTAGATAACATATACAACATTTATTTTATAACTTGAATACATATGCATTACATGCTAGAATATCTTGGGGGCAGATGATTTGCATCGTTGCAGTTGCTGTCACTTCAATACTGACCAGGCACGTTGTGCAGCTGATTGGTCCACCAACTGCCATCCTAGAGCTGCTAGGCAAGGGAAGGCAGGAAAGAGGGACATCGGGCGACCATGACATTGGACAAACACACGTCAGATGAGGCAAGCCTTTTGAACTGACAATCATAATCTATGGCAATAAGCAATGATAAGCACATATGTCCATAAATCACATCTACAATTGTATATGTATATATATATAGATACATAGATAGATATAGATATGCCATAGCATTCCAAAGAGCTTCGAAACGATAGACATGGCAATCTCTACACCAGCCAGCTCGAAGGCCGGACCCTTTTACAACCTTGGTGCAGACCGCCACTCGGCCGCCACGCCTTCCTGTGGCTGCAGGTTTGGCCATAGCATTTGGGTTGCTGAGGGGCAAAACTGGGTTAGATATTGATGGGTATGGTGTGGCTTTATCATCTGCAAGTGGATGGCTGCCAGAAAGATCCGCAAAAACAGGATTTGCTGTATGCTATGACCGCATATGGTGCAGAGAAATTTACCAGGGATGCAGATCCAAAAAGCATTCGACATGAGACTCGCAGAATGCAAGGTATGCCACCAGCAGCTCAGCGTGAAGGTTTGCCAAGGGATGTTTCAGCGCTTGCTTGGCCTGTGTGGTGACCGAGACTCTTGGAGAGAGTTTCAAGGAGGACTTTGGACAGGTCTCCGCCATCAGGTCCTTCAGAAGTTAAACTATTAATATCAGAATAAACCCTGGTTCATTAATTAGGGGGTACCCTTCCAATAGTCATAATATGATACTTAAATGATACCCTCCCAATTAAACAATCTAGGGGTTTATTAATCCAGGGTTGACACTATATTAAATATATATATATATATATGCACCAATTATTATTCATAGATGGTAAATTATCGAAACTATAAGTATCATTGATAATCATGAGATCACATCCATTTGGGCAGTACCTCACGGCACTCTTGTCCATTTTTTCCTCACGATTTGGGATGGTTCCGTCCATTTTCGCTGACAGCAGCGCCTTGGCGCTTAGGACAACAAAATTCTTCATCCACAAAGAGTGGTAGCAGAATCGCCTGACAAGTTTCTCGGGTGCACATTGCCAGATTTGCCAGGACAAGGGACCTTAGAAAGCACCAGAAGACAACATGGGATTCTGTTGTTTGAACTCATGTGAGCATTCAATCAAATTTGCTGAGTGGTCGCATTTTTCTTCAATATGTATCAATATTCATTTAATATGTAGAGAGATGTATCTACATGTAGAGAGATGTATCAATGTGTAGTATATGTGCCAATATGCACCAATAGTATAATAGGTATCAATCAATATGTATTTGTTGATCAGGCGGCGGAACAACTGATCACAGCGATTGTCACACGAAGTGCAACACCTGGAAAGAAGCGCAACCTTTTGCACAAGGCGTGGTCCTAAATCAACCTCAAACCAGTCCCAAATAAATCCTATAGCTAACAAGGACGTGAAAATTGCGCGAAAAGGTAGACCCCAAAAAGCACAAGTCCAACCACCTTTCGGTCCATCAGTGAATTCGCTCTGCCATCCATGCATCACAACAACTCACCTCTCCTGTGTTTTCCTATCTTTGAAACTTTGAAACGTCCGCCACCGCCTTGTGCGGTACTACTGGCATGTATAACTATGAGTCTCTATGTATCAATGTGGTTTACTATGTATAAAATTGTATAAATATGGTTCACATTGTGTGATGTTTGTCTCAAGATGCATCAATGTGCACTTTTTTATCAACATTTTTTAAATCAATACGTCTCAATATGTATCAATTCGCCATAAAAGCAATATTTTGTTCAACATCCCTCAACATTGATTAACATTCCAAGATTTTAGCACGCCATGGGGGCCTCCACGGATTGTTGTACTTCACTATGGTTACAGCTACCATGGACCTGCGCGAGCATGTCTTGACTTAGGATTCGAGAAGTGGCGAAACTTTCATACAGGAAGCCGCCAGACTTCAATGTTTTGTCGGTTTAGTCACATGATGCCACACTCTTTGTCACAGATTTAAGATTTCCAGAATAGTGTTGGCAGCACCGCACACCTCATCAATTGACACGATTCCTCAACACTTGGAATGAGGATCCAGTACATTCAGAAGATCGCGGCAAGATTCCTGGATGGCACGCTCAACACCGAAGTTTTTGAAGAGGCGAGGCATGACTTGCAGTGATGCATTGTGAGAGTCTTCCAATGGGGATCCTTTGTTCGCACACGATTTGATGAGATCACTATGTTGGTATTGGCACTTTGTTTGAGACAAGGTGTCCTCAGGTCTTCTGTCTAATGTTGTTTCATTCGAGCCAAGGCATCTGATCAAGAACTGCGCGAGCGCATGACACAGCTTCCGGGCATTGGAGAGTGGACGCTGGAGAGCCAATTGAAGCAAAGTTGAAGCAAAACAAACATGACAAGTTGACAAGCAGACTCAAGAGTCAGAACGTGATCAATATTTCACAAAGGAAACATGATGGAAGAACAATGACATGGAATCAGTGTGAACATGCAGTTCCTTCACTATTCCCAGTAGGATTCTAAATCCTTGGAGATGCCAATCCCAGGGGGTTCATAGAGGTTTTCTCGACGGTCATCGATGGTCATCGCTGACCACCGGTCAGGAGATGTTCCTGATTTTCCAACTGCATCGCCATGGAGGCGACCAGTGATGCCTTGGACATGCTTAGTGACTAGTGCCCATTGCCTTGGAAGGCCGTACAGGGCCTAGAGGGCCTACCCTCTGGTAATTTAACATAGCTATTGAAAATCACCATTTTTAATGGGAAAATCCACTATGAATGGTCATTTTCAATAGCTAGGTTAAATTACCAGAGGGTAGTTTGAATGCAAATTGTATTGAACATCAATGGACATAATAAGTGGATGCGATGTGTTTGACATTTTTTCAGCATTTTCTTGGCATCTTTTTTCAGATGTGGCGGCATGTGGCGGCCAGGAATCCCCTTCGGCGATGTGGCCATCCAGAGTGCCATGAAACTGATCTACAACATTGTGCCACCTGCAGATGTCACAGCCAAGAACGAGGATGGGCTCAATCACTAAACTGGTCCCGATCTACGAATGTGTCAAAGAGAGACTTACCAGAGCTTAACAAGTTATATAATTATATTCATTTCCCTGTGCACATTTTTTCACTTCAGCTTTCAATATTTGCAATGCGTGCAGTGCTTTCAGTTGAGAAACATGCATCGAGTTTATTTTGAATATAACAAAATATATCCAAGAGTAGTTGATCATATGTATAGACATGTGTATGCAAAAATACTGTAAAGGATATAGCATGTGGCAAATGGGGAGAACAGATTATAATATATATATACTGTATACTGTATATTCATTGTGTACTAACGTTGGGAAACTACGTTGATACGTGCGATGAAATGTGCTTGTAGGTCTCATGGATGCCCAGCCGGGCTCAGATGGAAGCCTTTGCGCTGCGCTGGGGTCCCTTCGGCAGCATCGCATCGCTCTACTTGCTGCGAGTGGCGGACAACGTGAACGCCATTTTTCTGTGCCTCAAATCAGCAATGGGATGCTACTATAGTGGGATATATGGGATAGTGATTTAAAACATGGGAGGTGAATAGTAGTGATATAATATCATGAACACTAGGAATACTGGATAATTATATTTACGGGATTCTAGATCTGCCCCCATGGAATGGAACATATACAGGTCACTGATCGCGTGGGCGCGGCTCCCTTGAGAACATTTGACTCCGCCGAGGCCAGATTGATTCCTTGGCATCTACCCTCTGGTAATTTAACATAGCTATTGAAAATGGCTATTTATAGTGAGTTTTCCCATTAAAAATGGTGCTTTTCCATAGTTATGTTAGTTTACCAGAGGGTATCACTATCTTGCGGCTAGCGGCTTTGCTACTCGTCTTGTGCAGCAGCTTGGTGGCGAGGCCGCATATAGACGCATCGCTTTGAAGAGAAAGATACCATGTTAAATATGTTGATTGCATGCAAATGCATGTTATGTTTTACTTGTTTAGCTGCTTAGATCTGCTTAGCCTGTTTGTTTTGTTGCAATGTTTGCATTTCATGTGCTGTTTCGTTTCAGGAGCATGCCGTGCGGCAACGGGCCTTGTACAGTTGGTCGGATTTCACAGGGCGATGGCCAGAATCTTAGGCCACCCGCCATTGGATTTGTACAGCACATCGCTCTCAGGAAAAAAAAAGCAGTGCGATAGAGAGAGGGAGTCACCCTGAGATTCATGATAAATGTACATATCTAGTCGATATAATATAATATAATATATATATATATGTGCACAGAGGTGTATATACGCAGACTATGTGTATATATATATGTATATATATATATATGTATATTAGATATATCATATATCAACAGTAGTATTTATATAAATATATATGTGTGTGTGCGCGCGCACATTATGGATCAACATAAATTGGAATGTGATTTCAGAGTTGCGGGATGGACTGAGCACGTTGGCAACTTGAGGATAAAGAGCTTAGATGATGACAAGGCCTCGCGCGATGGCGCAAGATGTTCCACACTTGTCATCAAACTTTGTCATTGATGGAGTGCATGCGGTGCCTTTATTCATTTGGGCATCTGTGGGTTTCTAGGTTTCAATGCAGCTAATCAGCCAGTGGAAGCTAAGTCAGAGTATATTTGTGCCAGGCGTGGTCGACACCGAAGGTGTTCAGCTTAGAACAGTTCCTGCGTTGATAGTGCTACTTTGAATCCTCAAAAGGTTAGAACTTTGGCACCGCTTGCGCGTCCCTGCCGGGACACGGATTGAGGAGGACATTGCCGGGCGTTTCGAGGCCTGTGGTTCCATCATGGCAGGGATCGTCGCAGAATTTGAACATGTGTCGCTGATGGTGGCCTATGTGGGCACACTGACTTTGGGCTCTCGTCCAACTAAAGCCATCAACCTCTCTTCGGCCTTTGTTCAGACGTAGGTCTCATTCAAACCTGGTTGCCACTTCTAGCTGACAAAAAGTGACCCTTGAGTTCTTGGTTTGTCCCGAGTCTTTGGGATATGTTTCGCTGTTTGTACGCCTTTGCCATTTTTGCTCCAAACTTTCTAGCATGACTCAACCATGGCATGGGCGACACCTGTGCGGCCCAGCTGCTCGTCTCAGAATTTCACGGAATATCATCTGATCCCGGGGATGCAGCGACAGTATTTTTTGGTTGTTTTTTTGAGTTTCCATGTAATCAATCTATGTCAATCTCAATGTTGAGTGGCTTGAGAAGTGTTTGACAACAATATTGTCCATCATGTCCATCGTCTCTGTCTATTTCGTGACAGCGACAGAAACTGAGAGCATCACAAGTGCATGAACGAGGGTTCGGGTTGGCAGGAATAAGTTGATGTGTGAACGCCGTGAAGGGAAACCCCAATGGGATGAAATTCCCCTTAGAAATTTCATGAAATTTCATGAAATCCCTGAATCTCAGACGGTGAAAACATAGGAGGAACGGTCGAAACAGCGAGCCCTAAGGCCGGCCACGAGCCTGGCTGGAGACCGATGAAGCACCTGGACTGCAGGGTGCAGATGGTCTTCGGTTGCCTCAAAGGTGTAGGATGTTGGAATATGCCACCGTCGCAAAGCATAAATTGGTTCTCAAATCTAAAGCTGATGATCAGTTTCCAAGTTTAGAGGCTTTAGATGGCTGAAACGCTGCTTTCACATGCTTTCATGTGCTTTCATAGAGTCACCGGACAATACACAGGTCCATAGCATTGACACGGCGCTGCCTGGTGCAGCCCCTGATGCTGCACATGAGGAGGTGCCCAGTGACACACTGAGAAGACTAGGGCCAGGATGGCCAGGGCCATGTTGTGCATTTTTGTGTGCAAATGATTGTAAATGTACATTGATTTGCTGTACTTAAGGCGAGGTACTGCACATTTTGGCAACTTTGATGTTGTGGAGTATTTTGCAAACGCTTTCCAAGGAATCACTGAGCAATGAAGCACTTAAATCATTTTTTACATCAAATTGAAACAGTTTTTTTTTTTGTATGTGTTTGTGCAAAAATCTCGAAATATTGAAACATTTTTTCCTCACATATCACAGATGACTCTTGTTTGGTGGCTGCCGGAGGTGCCAGCACATTTAGTGCAAGATGTCTCTCAGATCTTGCAGGAACATCAGGCGTTCCCACGGCAAGCCGTGCCTTAGAGCTCCATGTGTCAATTGATAGCGCTGATCGCAAGATGTTCCAATCTGGCTGCAAATGTTGCACATGTTGCACATGTTGCACTCTATGCACTCTGACATTGCAATCATGATGCATTTATGTGCTGCCATGTGTTGCCATGGTATTTTGTGCAGTTTGTGCGCAACCTGCGAAACTTGTCTGAAAGCTCCCTTCACAGGCAAGCCAGACCGACCTCATCGCGTGTCTTGCTTGGACCACGTACAACGCACTGATATTTAGGGCTTAAACATGCTCAAACACTCGAAACTGATGATGGAGACCCACAAGCCTATGGAATATTATGGAATACTATGGAGATATATGGAAGTTAGATTGGCATGGAAGTTAGATTGTCGAGTATCATCGAGTATCTATGGTGATGTTACAGGCTGCACAGGTCAGCAGATGTTATGCCCAGGCAATGGGTTGCCCGGGAAGAGGCTCGAGTGGTGGAGGCCGGGAGCATCCAAATCTATCCAAAACCCTCCCATGGAAACATGTAGGCACATACCTGACATATCCATGGCCTATGATCAGTGGTCCTACTTGAGTTAAAGGATGCGACTCATCCGAAACTTTCCCTGCCAGGGATACCGACAGCTAGAAGAGTTGCTGCAAAACGCATCCAGCGCATCTCTTCCTGGAAGCTTAGCTTGACCGATCGACCTGGGTCGCCTGGGTGTCCCGGGAATTGCAACCCGAGCCACAAGATGTTGGGGGTTGCAAAATGCTTGATGAATCTTGATGCCATGTACAAATGTTCAATCTGTTGGGGGTCTAGTCATGACATGTCTACTATGATTCGATGGTATGATACTGGATGATACTGTTGTCCTGGTGTGCAGGTTCTGGGAAGAGACAATGCCCTGAGGTCAAGCCATTCCCAGCCTATGTTGGGTCCCTGGGTCATCCGTTCCTTTCGCTGTCACTTTTGGCTCAAGACAAGGAATCAAATGGGAAGATTGGCACAGGGCCAGGCTTCCGCTGCTATGGTTTCAATGCAAGCACCCCTGCAGGCTCCGGACGTTGGCAGGGAGACGATGCTCACAGACATTTGGGAGACACCAGAAGTACTTCGAGGCCTTTTGCACCTTGCCGTGTTCAGAGAACCTGTAGCCTCAATAGAGATCCAAAAAGACAGATCCGGTGCTCCGCAACTAATCCTCAAAAAAAGTGGCACTGTAGGATTATCATGGATTGTCATCTTTACATCTTTACATGTATAAGGTATATATATGTATATATACTATACATACACTCTATATACTTGTAGCTGCAATCGGACTTGGCATCGGCCTCGGTTTCAAAAAGCAAGCTTGAGTGGCCCGACCTTCACCAGGATCAACGGGAGGTATTGGATTGCACCATTCCAACAGCATTCCAACAGCATTCCAGCCTTGAACTTCAATTGGAATTGGATCGCCTTTCAAAACCAAAACAAGACTTAATTCGGCTCTGCAGTTGCAAGCTGATCATTTATTCTGATGCACTCTGAAACGATATTCTGGAGTTTTTGTTACATATGTTACATATGAGATACGGTCAGAATAAGATGAATTAACCTAGGGTGACTTTAGTTAGCAGTCCTGCTGGGAAAGTGCACCAAACCTTGTAAAGCGATAGGGCCCCTCCATCTAACGATAACTTGTAACAATAGATGAGAGCGCATTAAACTTGGTGCAGGCCAAGCAAATAGTTTGTATACATTCACGTAATGGGCTTAATGGATGGAGAACATTCAACCTGCAGTGTCCGTGTTTCTTGCTGTCATTTGTTGTCCAAGGTGATTGAATCGTTGCTTTCTGCAGGCATGTTGCTTTTTTCTCTCTCCCAGGTCCCCAAGCAGTAGAATTAAACTAAACTAAACTAAACGCAATTGCTTTCTGAATTAAATCAAACACCATTTTCAGATATAATTCCGAAATCCGCTTATTTGCTCTTATTCAATTCGACTTTCTTCTTCCTTTGGTTCCTTTTCTTTTTCTTTCCTTCCTTTTTCCCTTTATTGTTCTTTTGAATCTAAATGCAATTGAATTCTAAAATGAATCAAAATTGATTTAGATCCAATTCTGAATTCTTTTTAAGTCCTTTCTGCTTAATTTCTCCTTTCTCTTCCTTCGCTTTCTTTTCTTGTTCCTTCCTTCCTTTTCCCTTTATTTTCAATTTACCTTTGCGTTCCATGTTCTTCTTTCTTTTCCTGTCTTGATCATCAAGGTGTTCTAAATTAATCTAAATTAGCGATAACCTTGGCGATAAACGTTTGTTGAAAAAGGTGCCCCCGACGAGGACTGGACTCATTCGATCTCATTGGCATTTTTCCAAAATACTGAACAAGCAATAAGAAAAGGAAATGAACTATTCTTACAATAAAAACATAGAAAACATGATTTTGGAAATCTTTGATGAAGCTGATTATAAAATCTGTGATGACAAGCAATTCCGCTGCATGTTTGTATGACTGCCAATTGCACGATGAGGCGATGGAAGCTGCCCAGAACCACGACAAGGTAGTAGAAGTGGTGGTTGGCGACGTGAGCGGGCAACGGGTTGAGTTTTACCTGGTCCTAAGAGACAGCAGTGTCCCACAGCGCCTACGATATCTCCTGCAGTAAAAAGGCGCTGAAAAGAGTTCATGGAAACACGGGCAACACGGCAGCCATGACAAGTAATTGTTCTTGGCTATGCCATGCTCTGCAGAATGCCATGTTCGGATCAAAGCACTGAAAGTAGGCACAGCTCATCTGCACGTGCTGCCACGCAGCGGCCATGGAGAGATGGTGTTGTGAAGCTGTTGTGTGTCTGTTATATGATATATGCATCATGTTCTTTTTTTTGGATTTTGTCGGCTCAAAGTGAATTTCTCAGCTTACGGCCCTTAGAAACCTGGCTCCTCTTGCTCTGTTGCTTTCAAGGCTCGGAGCATGTTCGATAGCTGTAATTATCTCCAATAACTGTTCGTCTGACAACTGTTTGTGACATGTCAAGCACAAGCTACGTTCCTTCACCAAGTGCTGCCAGCTGGAACCGATCTATTCGGGAGAATAGCACGCAAGCACACGCGCAAACATGCTTGAATAATCCATTGATCAGTGTCCGATCATGCAAGGCTCATGACCATCGCTGCGTCCGAGCCTGAGATATATCCGCTTTGCAGCTCCGCGGCCTCTTCGGTCGACCCGCGCCCCTCAGGCTAGGACTGAAGCTCCGACTCTTCGCTTTCCTGCTATGCATCCGCTGGGCGTAAGGACCTTGGCTGCTTTTTCTGAACCAACCGAAGTCAATTGAATATTTTTCGCCTCGCATGCAAAGGTACTGCAAGAAGCTGATTTACGCCACCAACTTGCTCAGCGGAAACACATACAGCGTGTTTCGAGGCAGGTGGAGATATGGGAACACACATGTGTAATCAAAATCACAGAAAGCTCTCTACGCTAAAATCTAACATTCGTGCAATTGGCCTTCCTGAGCCCCGGTCTCTTTGGACACGTCTCTGTCGTCGACAGGATCCCTGGGCATTGAAGCAGCGATTCGCAAGCACTTCAACGCCAAGGCCGGGAAGAATTTCGGAGATCATGTCAGAATCAAGACCCACTAAACGAGACATGACACCGGAGAATTTGCTGCGCATGTTGCCAATTAATTGCACGATGAGGCGATGGAAGCTGCCCAGAACCACGACAAGGTAGTAGAAGTGGTGGTTGGCGACGTGAGCGGGCAACGGGTTGAGTTTTACCTGGTCCTAAGAGACAGCAGTGTCCCACAGCGCCTACGATATCTCCTGCAGTGAAAAGGCGCTGAAAAGAGTTCATGGAAACAGGGGCATCACGGCAGCCATGACAAGTCACGAAAGCTAGCGTCAGCTAGCTGGAGTCTTCTTGCTTTAGCAAGTATTGGGGGCTGCTCAAGGACATCACGTGATTTTTCACGCGAAAGGGGGGGGG